GAGTCCAGCATCACGAACCTCTCCACGTGTTCCGGGTAGACGGCGGCGAACAGCTTGCCGATCTGGCCGCCCATGCTGTGGCCCATACACGCACACGTCGGCCACTGCATGTGCCGGAGCACGCGCTTCACGGTCAACACGTAGTCCTCCATCGGCCACCGCTTGCCCACCGGCGGCCACGACGACAGCCCGTGACCCGGCCAATCGAAACATAAGTACACGTTGCGGCTGTCCAACAGCGGCACCAGACGATCGAACGACGCGCAGTTGTCCTGGAACCCGTGAAAGCACAACACCCGCCGTTTAACATCGTCGTTTTTCGTTATATCACTCCAGAGTTTCGCTGCAAAAAAATAACAACAACGGGAAACTTGTGAAAATTCGATTGTAATTGGAATATAAACAATATTGCGTTTCCGTATAGTTAATTCGTCCGAATATTCTCATAAACTGCGTGTAATCGGGGCCTGATTAAGGAGTTGGTCACTAGTAGGCTAGGGTTGATTTGGCGCCCCTATGAATGATCGGAGTGGTTGGAGGGTAAAACGAGGATTAAGAAAACGTAAAAACAACAGACTTTTTTTGTTTAAAATAAAACGTGTTTTATATTTAATAAAATTATATACAAAAGCATTTAAAAATTTTTAATTTATGATTGAACTAAATATTATTCATTTTAAAAAGTTTTTTCCTTGATTTTAACACTGCGAAAGACTCTACTATTTCATCGAAAGAAATATTGTTCATGAATTCACTTTCAATAAACAAAAGTGCAAGGGCCTTCATTTTATCCTGGCGTAAAATAGATCTTAAAAAGTTTTTCACCCGCCCTAAAGCAGAAAAAGATCTTTCTCCGCTACAATTTGTGACGGTCATACTCAAATATATTCTTAGAGCCACTTCAACATTTGGAAATAATGACTCTATCTTCAAGGATTTTAAATGACTCAAAAGTCTGGAGGCTTTAGATCCCATTTTCTTTTTTCCACCTAGAACTTTTGTTTCTTCATAATATGTTTCATTTTCTTGTAAAAATGTTTGAAGATACAAACATTCTTCGGGAAATGTTAAGTCCAAGTCTGAAGGGTACATGTTTAGCAAGTTGTTTGCTTTTTCTTTCAAGTCAAATTTTTCTACTTCATTCATATTAGTTAGTTAGTTAGGTCATAAAAATCCGAAAGAATTCCTCAGCTGCAAATAAACATCTTTTCTTCTCGCTAGGTGACTTTTAAGCGTATCAATCGTGCTATAATAACTATCTGTTATAAATGACTTACGTCCGGTAAACTCGGTGTGCTCTTTTTCACTTTCACCATAAGGTAACTTCAATTTCTTTTTTCTTTGAGTATTTTTTTTATAATGCTGAGAACCACACATTGACTTTGCTTTACTTTCAAAGGTTAAAAATTGTTCTTCATTCCTTAGTGACATTAAACACGATTCAAGAATTTCGTACAGATTTACCGTCTGATCTAAGTCTATATTTTCACCTTGAAGTATTTTACTGACATCTTGAAACTGTGAGGATTTCGTTCCAAAAGCAAATCACTAGTGTCATTTCTAAGGACTTAAGTTTTTCAGATAGTTGTTTTGCCTCGAGTTGATCTTCTTTACTATTTTTCGTACTTGTACCAATTTCTATTAAAGCTGTAGTAATTGGTTTATAGCATTTGTACATAGCCTTACTAGCATCGGCAAATGCACTCCATCTAGTCTTTGAGAGAGTCTTTATCGTTAGAGAGTCTTTGTCGTAATGAGATAATAGAATGTCCCATCTTTTGGTGGAAGAGTGAAAAAAGTTATACAGTTGCTGTTCTAGAGCAAAAAATGTAGAATTTCGGCTACTTCCAGCTGTTGCAGAGCCTACTAACTGTAGTGAATGGCCTGCACAAGGAACATAGTGCGCTAATGGATTAAGTTCTTTAATTCTCTTTTGCAGTCCCTTGTAGCAACCTGACATATTGTAAGCGTTGTCGTAACTTTGTCCCCTGCAGTCATTTATATTTATATCTAGAGTTGCAAGGATAGAAACCACAGCTTTTTCCATGTCTTCACCTGTGTGTCCACAATTTGGAATAAATGTTAGAAAACGTTCATTAGGTGATCCATCAGTTGCAACATAACGAACAACAAATGTCAATTGGTCCACATTCGATACATCCTGAGTAGAATCGACAATAATAGAAAAATACTTTGCCAATTTTATCTCTGTCACAATTTTAGTTTTCACATGGTCTGCTAAAAGTAAAACAAACTCATCTACTGTTGTGGAAGATAAGTATGAAGGCACTCCCTTACCTTTATTTTCGAATCGGGCTACATGATCAGCTATAAATGGGTCAAATTTACATAAAAGTTCTATGCACCCAAGAAAGTTTCCATTGTTGGTTGAACCTAAAATTTCATTTTCTCCGTGAAAAGGAAGCTCTTTGGAAGATAAAAATTTAACAACTTCTACAACCCTGAGCAACACGTTTTTCCCATACTGCACCTCTCCTTGATAATGAATCTTTAATTTTTAATCAATTCTTAGGGATAAATTACTTCGTCCTAAATATTTGCGCAGACATGCTCTGTGTTCAGCATCATTATCATGGTAATGGATTATGTGAGAATTCTTCCAATCATTAAAACCATCAGTTCCCAAAGAAGTAGTTCCCCCCATAAAGTTTGCAGGGTGCACAATAAATACGACCTGTCGATTTTGAATAAACTAAGTGACATCTTTTAACAACCTCCTCATTAACAAGTTTCTTAAAAAATACATTTTTATTTAAAAACCAATTTTGGTCTGAGTATTTTCTTATAGATTTGGAAAAATCTTCATCATCATTTTGAATAATGCCGTGCATAGCAAAATATTCACGCAGCAGTTCTTCATTAATTTCCCACAAAGCCGGATCGTTAACATTTTTAAAGTTTTTTAACTTTTCATCAGTCTCATTGAAATGTGAATAACCATCTGTCAGCTGTTCTGGGAACGTTTCAGATAGAGTTTTATTTAGTGTATTAGCACTAGTAGACGGCATCGCCACTTGAATTTCACTTTTGCTTTTGCTACTTTCAATCAGAACACTCTTCACTGAGGCATCTAATAATGATTCAGAAGAGTCATTATTAGACGTTGTTTTAGATTTACTAAAAAACGAATCAAGTGAAGGCATTTTTTTCAAAAGTGCATCTTCCCGCTCACTACGCTCTCGAGCCCTTTTTCGATACTCGGAACCACTTGGTTTTTTATTTTCACTCATATTAATAAGCTGTTTGTAAATTGTATTAAAAAATATACCAATAAAATGATAAATAATTGGTACGTACGCACACGCGTCAAAAATTAGTAATAAACGATCGGGATAAATTGACTGTATCGGTTTGCAGTGCGGCGGATACGGATTAGTGATTACGCCACTACGGCCGACGACGGTAAAGATATAATATAATATTATTGACTAAGAAAAAATATAAATAGTACAATATTACCCGTCGTCGGGTCGTCTCACGCACACATAATATTATATCTATAATATTAGTGGATGTGGGATCTCTCGGTCGTCGGTGCAATAAACCCGCGACGATTACAAGAAATAGGTATATGACGTAATATATTACAATAGTCGACCGGGCGGAAATTCGTTGCGGCGACGCGGTAACGGCACGGCGAATATGCCGCGGCATTGAACGTGTAATAACGAAAATATAATTTTTTTTTTTTTTTAAAGTATATATTATGCAAAAATTCTACATTCATAAAAAAAATTTTTGTGGCGCCCCCAATTTAACGTTGACCGATTGGCTCCCTAGGCTGTAGCCTACTTAGCCTATTAGTAAATCGGGCCCTGCGTGTAATATGTATAATAGACTGATATAAAGACACTCGTCGAAAACATAACGATCCACACGATTATTTTTTAAGTTTAATTCGTGTACACGATTGCAAAAGTGCACGCGTGTGGTCAAATATTTTGTCTGTGTACTGTATTGCTGAAAACATATCGGAGATTATGTTAGGATAAGGTAAAACAATACTTGAATTAATATAATTTATAACAAACTCAAACAAAATGCAAGATCGGCCGGGTGGTACCATAGGCGCCAGGTTTTCAAAAATGTATTGGGTGCTCTTACTAAAGTCAAGCAGTGGTGCACGCAGGGTTGTAGGAGGGTAAGGGGTTTCACCCCCTCCCCCATCCTCAAAATTTCTCCGAGGCCTAGTATAATGTTAGGGCATACAGTATTTATCTCTATAGTAAATTATTAATAGAAGAACAACCCTCCCCCCGAAAAAAATCCTGTGTGCAACTGAAGTCAAGTATTAGTGAGGGGCTTTTCCCCTCACTCCCTATACTAAATTGTCTATAGACTGGTAACTTGGTAACAGCAAGACCTTTGTCACTTTTATAAAATTGATGATGAACATAAAACAAAAAGGTTTTCTCATTGATACAATGGTTACGACTATGAACAAAATATATTGTACTATTATATGATTACGACTTACAACTGTTTGTTTTTGTGTATTATTCACGATTTAAGATAATATCTATATAAAATATTATATCTTATAAAAATACCAAGAGAAATCAAAATGTACAGAAAAATACAGTGCATCCAACAAAAGAAAAAACATTTTTTTCTAATTTTGACTTACGAGGTTTTGCGGTGAAGCCACTGATATACGATGAACGTGGTGATAACGGTTTACCAATTATAATTAATATATTGGCCATTGGGTGTTCCGCACACAATGAATATTTTCAATGGGTGCTCGGGCATCCGAGCACCCATGTACTTGGCGCCTATGGGTGGTACCCATTTACGCAAAAAAAAAAAAAAAAAGGTAAGTTATTTCTGACAGCCATTTTGCGCCAAATTTACCTGCATAAACATTTTATATTAACGATTTGGTTTAATTCTTTTTAAATGTCTATAACGTATAATAAAGTTATCTTTATATTTATAGCAACAATTTTTTTTTTTTTGAGTAAATAGACAATGCCCGATCGGTTAAAGTTTTTTCTGTTTATTTTGAAGCTTTGGATGTTGTTGTATTTGCTAATGGGCAACAGGGCTACATATGGACGATTGTAGATTATTACGAAAACTATTTTAAATTCACTCAAAGCAAAACATTTTAAATGGTACAGAAGAAAATTTGGAATCTAAAGCGGAAAATATTCTACAACGTCGGAACTCTTGACTTTTATATAGGCATACAGCAGTAAGATTGTATACATTTGTATAAATGTACAATACATTTTTGTAACTCAACTTTTATTACTTAAACAGTATAAAACTACTACAATATATAAATAATTTTCTTAATACTAGTCAACAATTAACGATGAAACTGTATAGTGTTGTGTACTTCTACTACGCGCACAACGTCATATCGTCAGAAAACTACAATTTTTTAAGTACAAACATGCGTGTGTACGGCCGGTTTAATGTTTACAATACTTTTGCAAAAAATTTGTCACGAGACTGAACACTCTGTCTGGATAATTTAGATGCACGTCGTGATCACCATTGACAACTGCGACGGTCACGTTCGGTCTCTTGCTGTTAAACTCGTAGGCGTCTTTCAGGTATGTGGAATAACGGGCGGTGTTTTCGTCGGCCAACACGAATAGCACGGGGCACGTGACATTGCGCAGGACGCGCTCCTGTTGACCGAACTCCATCAATGGGTGGAATTCTAATTTTAGGCGCTGGTCACTGGCGAACGTGTATCGATCACCGTCACCGTCGACCTGGATCAATCCTCTTCGGGCCAGGATGCGCGCCGACTCGTTGGTCAGCTTGGAACGCCGGCCGGCCATCATTTTGGCGACGGCCTCGTCGAACGTGTACACCGGCGCCTGACGCCCGCACTGCCTCCGGTGCAGCGATTGCGCGCTGTCGATCCGCTTCCGGACAGTAACCGGCGTGCTGTCCAAGTCTACGGACCTCGGTCCCATGGTGTCCAGCACAATCAGACACCGGACGCGTTCCGGGTAAATGCCGGAGAACCACGTGCCCAGCTGGCCGCCGAAACTGTGTCCCAGGTAGACGAACTCGGGCCATCCAAAGTGATCGGCCACCCACTTAATGGAGCCTATGTAGTTGACGAACTCTAGCGGCACGTGAGGGGGGAAATGAGCGGAACCACCGTGACCGGGTAAGTCGATGCATACGTAGTGGTAATCGTTCGGCAACAATGGCAGAAGTGTTACGAAAGTGTCGCAGTTGTCTTGGATCCCGTGGACGCAAAGGACGGCGGGAAGAGAGTCGCTACCGTACATTTTTGCTGAAATAAAATTAATTCTGATAAATTCCTGTGCGTGTGCGCTCATGTATCTCTCGTCACGCGCAGAGCAGCCGATGAGGCCGCAATACGTTTTATTGTGCAAATAACATAAAGGGTTTTGTGATGGCGTAAGGTGATGGAAGGTTGCAGCGGCAACATAGGGAATAGGATATTTCGGCGTGGCCATTTCGATAAACCCATTTCTGCAAGCGTTCAATTCTAGATCTGTATTCTTTAATTTAATTTTTATTACACGCGTGCTGTACGATGTACGATTCTGAGCGCGCTAAATAAAAAGATCGCAAACTAGTTTTACATAAGTACATCACAAGAACGTAAACGTACCGAGATAAAAATTTTTATTGTCTGATTTATTTCAAATATTTTTTATACATTTCGTGCAACGATTCGATTTATACTTATCGTAAGTTTACAAATGTAGACTAACTAGGTTTTTGCATTGACCTCTTTAATTGTCGATCATCACGAAGTACAAATTCAAAATGAGTTATCCACGCCAAAATGAACCCAATAAAAAGTAGAAGGAAATTTTAATTGTATTTTTAAAAATATTTTTGTAATAATATTGTAAATAATTTTTTAATAATGGTAATCTGATTTTTGGATTCTTAAAATTCCTTGATGGATCCCGTTATGCCACTCTGTCGGTACGCCACTGACTGATGGTACTCTTAAAATCACTCCACCTATTATTGTACGCATTTGTACCGGACAAAAAAAGCCAAACGTATAAACGCCTATTATAATTAATTATAGATATGAAGTAATTTATGTAAATAAAAAAATAAAAAAAATTGTAAATAATTATAATTATGATATTATAACATTTTTAACAGGAATCGGAAATAATGTAAGTTGTCATTAGTTTATTTTTATTATATTTTATTTAAATTGAACCTAGTTTTTATTAAGTTAAATAGTGTATAAAATTATAAAATAAAATGTACACAAATATCCACGGAAATTTGTTATGATTCACGCTAAAATGGCTACACCCAGATGGTCATACTGAAATGTCCTAGACCGTAGAAAATAATATCATATATTATATTATTAAATTTAGATGTATATTAGATGTATAACATAAAAAAACTCTATTATTATGATTATAAACAATTTAACAGAAAAGAAAGAGAAAGCAGAATTTAGAAACATTTACTTATAATTGAATTAAAAATATTCAATTATAATATAATTTTGTAAAAAAAATATTTAACACTATGAAACATAACCACCTTATATATATGAAAACACAATTAAATAAACAAAATTTTTACTACCCAATACAAAAACCTAATTTTATTGAACCATAAATTATCATAAAAAAAACAATTACCACAATTTAAAGTTTACTACATTCAGAAAATAAAAATGTATTGATTAAATCTGCTATTCGTTCCGGATGATTCAAATGTACATCATGATTTCCGTTTACTTTGACAATTTGAATATTGCGATTTGATTTATACATTTTTCTTGTTAATTTATTACCCGGCAATTTTTGAAACATATTTTCTGCAGCAAGTAAATATAACACAGGGCATTTAATACTATGTATAAGAACCATTTGTTGCATTGGTGTGAATCCTTGATTGTAATCAACTTTCAATCTTTGGTCTGTACTAAATGAATATTTTCCATCAGAATTTTTAATTAAAGACCGTTTAATTAGTATATCTGCAGAGTGTCTAGTCAATTTTGAAGGTCGTTTTGTTAATATCCGATTAACAGCCTGTTCATATGTATACGATGGTGGTGATCGATTCATAGTTTTACTTTCAACCATCAAAAGATTATCACATAGCGTTCTCATGAATTGAATAGTATCTTCAGGATAAATTGACATTGGACCAGCACAATCTATCATTACTAATCTTTCAATATATTCTGGGTATATAGATGCAAAAAAACTAGCAATCATACCACCCATACTATGGCCAATGCATTTAAATTGTTTCCATTGCAAATGATCGACAACACGTTTAATAGCAGTAACATAACTTTCTAATGTTATACGAAAACCAGGAGAAAAATGTGAAGAACACCCATGTCCAGGAATATCTAAACATACAAAATAAAACCCTTGTCGGAGTAATGGAATAAGTCTGTCAAAAGTGTTACAGTTATCCTGCTTGCCATGGAGAAAGAGAACTTGAGTAGCCAAAGGGTGGCCCCAAGTTTTGGCTGAAATTAAATTTGTTTGTAATCACATATTTGTCTAAAAGTATACATATTAAGTATAGTTATATTAATTTTTATTCTTATTTTTTTATTAACTATAAAAGTCTTAATTTAATCTAATACATCATTAAATAACATTGATCTTTATCAATAATTAAAAATCATTATTATTTATGTCATAATTTTAATATTAGCAGAAATTTGAATCATTTGAAACCAGGTTATTGAATAAGCATTACTATTTTAGACAATATAATAAAAAAAAATATTTAATAATTAGGAATATTGTATGATAATCTACAAAATAAATAAATTCTCAAGATAGTTCATAATTTTACCAACAAAATTCTTCAAACAATCTTCAGTTGTCATGTTTATGATTTTATAAGATTACCTAATTAAAATCTGTTTTAGTATCTAGTCAAGAGAATTGTAGTTGTAAATTGCTTAGACAATTATATAAAAAATAAAAATTTATTTTAGTACAAAATAAATTTCATTAAACTTCAGAAAAAAAGGAAGAAACATAACAAATTATAATTTTAATGAAAAATTATTAACTTATACATTCAATTTAGTCAAAACAATATTATAAATTTTTTTTTCCTAAACAGGTAAATGTTATTTTAGCAATTTAAATATTAGTAAATGATAAACACTTACCAGAAATATGTCCCCAAGGAACTGGTATTGAAATTTCTTCTGCATTCATTTCAGAAACTAAATTGTGTGGCACTGAAAATGAAAAAACAAAAATTGTTTCTTTTATTTTGCATATGGTACCTACATAAATTAATGATAAGTAAATGGTGTTTTGTTATCTAATACATTGACTATTAAAATAAATTATGTATACTTTACTGCAGTAAACATTTTAACCTATGTGTAAAATCTTAAATATAGGAGTTAGATTAATATCTTCATCTCTAATCTTATTTTCTAAAAATTTTATAGTAAATAGTGCGGTATATTTTTAAACTTTCAAGTACTTTTAACGGATTAATAATTCGTTTAAATTTTAAAAATACTATTTATGAATAAAATAAACTTAAAACTTACAATGAGGTAACCGTGTCTAACGAAATTACATAAAATGTACAAAAAACTATAATGATAACAATAAATGACAACACTGATAAAATTATTTTATAACTTATACTCTTATAATGTAACACTGCGGACACGGATTACGAGTCACGGAAAAATCGTAAAAGAAAACTATCCTATCTTTATTCTCAATTCATGGCGAGTATACCTATTTAAGACTGACGTCATTAATGTATTTGGAAGCTAAAAAAAAAAATAACAGGCAACCGGTTTTTTATCGCTATAACATGGTTCGTTATAAATTATGCCCTACTACTATTTTAATAGTCCTTGAACAGTTTTTGATATTTGACTAACTACATACACGGGATACCTACCAACATTCAGGGGGGTATTTTCAACATTTTTATGGAGGGGAGGTCCCGTAAATACGCCAATGCTAACATTATTATGGAAATCAATCTAAATATTAAAACACATAGCTATAATCAGGACTGGGAACTTAACGTATTTAAAGACAATGGAATGTATGCATACAAATAATATATACGTTAAAAAAAAAACAGAAAAAATATGCAGTATTATGTGCAATAAAAATTAAGATAGTAGGTATGCAAAAATATACAATTTTTAGTTTGATTTTCAAACAGCAAATTAAAAAAGTTTTATCTGCTAAAATGTATATTATATTCAAGCACGCCCACAGGATAAAATCCCACCCGGGGCAAGATTAAAATTCTAAAGTTCACAACGTGTATCTAAAAATATATGAGAACAAAATCAAATACCATAGAAATCGGTACCCGGGAGAATTTATAGTCTTAAGCGATATGCAGTCATATGTAAACATTGTAAGCAAATAAATACGTTCAAGATTATACATTTTAGAATATCAAAAAATATAATAAATTTTACTAAACTTCATAAATGGATCTCAATAAAATTATGTTATAATTAATATGCATGGTATTAAATTAACAATAGTTTTGAAACAAATATTCCCAGTAGGGGCAACAACTCTTTTGCCCCCCCCCCTACGGGCGCCCATGATTATATTGTAATTTATATAATATAAAATGTTAATATAAACAGAGATAAAAACACGAAATAACTAAATAAACCTTCAATAATTGAACATGTACCTAATAATATGTTCTTATTTTAAGAAACATTTTTAAGAAATTCATTTTAGTTTAATGTGATTTAGACATTTACACCTGTCCGCTGCTATCGCAGATCCAAATTATATTAGATATAAAACATATTTATTTTAATAAAAATATCATTTTTTTGTGTATAAATTATATATTATAATTATATATAATATTAATTATATTTTAATAATTAATTAATTATTAATATATATTTGTAATTAATATAATTAATATAATTACCACTATTTAAAATTATCAATAGATCTTCAATATAATAAAAAAAAAACTCGAAATTATGCATATAAATTAAACATTAAAGTTAATCGTATGAGTCCTGTTTATTATGCACAGCATGTATAGAAACAGAAAATAATATCTTCTAGATTTTCAGTAGAGTTTCCAACCTTTTTATTATAAATATATTTCTATGAATATTATATATATATTCGCGTATCATTTACATATTTTGAAATTGTTAATCAAAAAATAAAATATATTATATATATGTATAGTATATTATGCCATATAGATAATTGTCATCGAGAAAAATGAATAGAGGAACAAAGAAGACATTTCTCAACGGCTGTGAGACATGGGTTATGAATGAAACGGAAATAAGACCTCTTGATGCTTTCGAAATGTGGTGTTAAAGACAAATGGGAAAAATTAATTTCAGCAAAAAAAGTAATAAATAAAAATGTACCGACCTAAGTAGAAGAAACAAGATCGATATTGGATGTAATAAAGCGAGGACGATGAAACATAATAGGGTGATATGATATATGATAGTAAATATATAATAGTAGTAAACTCATTCCATATTAACAATATGTGTAACCGTAGCGAAGTTGTAAATCAATTAAAACAAAAATGCTTTTCAAGACTTTCATTTGCTGAAAAAAAAGTTTTAGTTGAAAATGGTAAACCGTGTCCAGATCTTGACATTTTAACAACAGTAAAAATTAAAAAAACAACAGATAATACTCGGCATTTTCGTAAAGAGCTTTATAATATATCTGATTGGTTATGCGGTTGTGAAATATCGAATAAATTTTTTTGTTGGTCTTGTTTACTATTTTCTACGAAAAAAACTGTTTGGAATAATCAAGGGTATGATGATTAAAATCATTTAAATACAGCTGTTAAAAACATACTGAATAAGAAATTCATATAGGTGGATATTTTAAACTTAAGACATTTTTATCATCATCAACTGCTAGAATTGACACATCATTAGATAAACAAAGAAAAATAGATATTCAATTACATAATGAAAAAGCAGCAAAAAATAGAGAAATATTAAAAAGATTAATAAATGCAGTATGTTTTTTAGCTAAACAGGAATTATCTTTTAGAGGACATAATGAAAACAAATATTCAGTAAATAGGGGAAACTATATGGAGTTATTGATTTCCACCGAAGAATTTGATCCATTATTACAAGAGCATTTATATACATCTACTATTTTTCGAGATACTTCTGTTTCCATACAAAATGATTTAATAAATTCAATTGCTGATGTTATTAAACATGAGATATTTAATGCAATTCAAAATACACAATACGTGGCAATTATGCTTGATGAAACAACTGATATTAGTAATAAATCACAACTATCGACAGTACTGAGATATTTTTCAAAAAACGAAAACAAAATTGTTGAACGTTTTCTTGGATTTGATGACATGAGTGCTGACAAAACAGCAACCTTTTTATTTAAACACGTTAATCGAGTAGTTGAAAAATTTAAAATTGAAAACAAATTAGTGGCACAAACATATGACGAGGCAGCAGTAATGTCTGGCCATTTAAACGGGTTGCAAAGTAAAGTATTAGAGAAATATCCTAAAGCTATATTTACTCATTGTTATGCGCGTGTTATTAATTTAATACTTCAACAATCATTAGAATGCAATAAGGAACTTAAAATTTTTTTTCAAGGTCTTAACTCTTTACCTATATTTTTTTCTCACTCTCCTAAAAGACTAAAAGCACTTTCAGAATTTATGACCAAAAAGTTACCCACATTAGCTACTACTCGTTGGAACTTTACTTCACGATTAGTTCATATAATTCATAATCATTGAACATCATTAGTTGATTTTTTTATGTTTGTTTATGAAAGTGGTGATTTTGATAATGTTATTGGAATGACAGCAAAAGGATTTGCAAATATCCTTCAAGAAAATAAAAACATTTTTATTATACAAATATTATCTAATCTTCTTATTTTTACTGACGTATTGTTCAATATTTTACAGTCAAAAAATTTTTATATTTTATTTTGTAGTCAAAAAATACTTGATTTTCAAAACCAATTATACCAAGAAAGCGAAAATGTTGATACTTTATGGGCATCATTTACTGAAAATGCTAACGAACTTTTTGTAAGCAATCGCAGGGCTAGACAAATAGAAACCGACAAAAAAGATTATTATAGACGTCTTTATTTTGATATTATTGACAATATACAATCTCAAATTAATATCCATTTTAAATCGTTTGAAAAATTGCAATGTTTTAACTTACTTAATCCTACGAAAATTAAATGCATTGCGAAAAAAGATAATTTTCCATTTAATTTAATTAAAAATTTACAAGATATTTATGGCGATTTTTTCAACTATGGTAAACTATAAAATGAACTTCATGTATAGTACACCTTAAACGAATCATCCGATAAAAGCTCTATTGAAATTATGAATTATCTTTCTGAAATGAGCTTAAACAGTGGATTTTCCGAGGTGTATAAGTTGGCTCAATTAATATCTACTATACCAACATCAACCGCTTCAGTGGAGAGATCATTTTCATCTTTAAAAAGAATCCATACATATTGTCGCTCAACTCAAACACAAGAAAGAATGAACAGCTTAAATGTAATATCAATAGAAAAAGAATTGGTTTTCAAATTAAGAGCAAACAGAAATAAATTTTATGAAGATGTTATAAACAAATTTACTGAAAAAGAGGGAAGAATCGAATTTGAATTCAAATAAAAATCAGTCTATAATAGAATATATTTATAAAAACATTTTCAGTTTGTATAATAATTTAATTTTATAAATATTTTATGTATTTTTAAAAACTTAAAAAGTATGTAAAATAAATATCTTTAATAACATGTTGATATTTAATAAAAATTTATTTTTCATAAGGGGGGGGGGGGTCCTAATCAATCACACATTAACGCCTGACGCTGAAAGTCAGGAAACGCCACTGGTTACAAGTACTAGGTTCTGTAATGTTCTGTATAAACCAGTGAACTGATTTATTTAAAGAATTTTTGATCCAATGGATCTGTGTTTTATCAGGTTTTATTCAGAAGCAATTATATTTTAGTCCATCATTCAATGGTTTGCCCATCTCTACCTTAGTTTTTAAATTACCAAAATTTAAATTGCCATGTTTACAATTACTAGCGCTCCTCGCGGACGTAACATATTAGATTGATCTCAAAAGCTGTGTATTATCAGTACTGTTACGGTACCGGTGACACTTGATAGTATTCCGTATAAATATGTCTTGTTACCTGCACCTATAAAACTGTAAAATAATTGGTAACTTTACTATTCAAGACGTTAGAACAAATCACTTTATTTACAACTACAAAATTGGATAGGTACCCTTTAATCCTTGCTATTGACTTTTTCAATTTAATTAAAGGTTTTTTTTAATTTGTTCTCTGTAAAATGTCTTTAATAAAAAGTTGACATTTATAATGGATGACGCATCAAATGAAAATATGGTAAAAAGACTGCTTCGACTAGCTGATACAGCTATTGAACGGTCAGAGTATGGACCAGCATTTGTTCATCTAACAATTTTAATAGAAATGGTACCAAATAGTAAAGATAGTATAAAACATAAATTCATTTCATGTTTATGTATGTTATATTATTATAATTATTAATGAAGAGATATATGAATGTATATATTCAATATTTCAATTTTTTTTTTGTTTTAGGTAATTACGGAAAACAACTTGAAGCTAATGAATCTTATTCTGAAATTTTTAATTGTTATGAAAAAGCTTTACAATTATTTCCAAACAATGAAATATTACTCAACAATTTGGGATCTCATCTTATTAGGTAAAAATAAAGAATTAAAATACTGACAGACACAAATTTATTTTTGATAAATTTATTTTGAATAATCGTGAACTTATGGATAAACTAATTTTGAATTGTTGATATGATCGTGAACATATGGATAAATTAATGCATAAGTGTTGCTTATTATCCCTAAAAGTTAATCTTGTTTCAATGTCCTTGAATTGGTATTTTATTATACGTAAATAATTCAATCTATGCTCATTAGGCTACTGCAGTTTGTTTAGTTTTATGTCGACAAATGTTTAAACGTAGTTTTAGATGTAGTTTAAGTTACCATGTCAAGTGTTTGAAAGTCTATTGTCATAAGTTCAGGTGTCATTAAAATCATATGTTATAAAAGTAATTTCTCATAAATGTCATATTTTATAAAAAATTCTAAGATTGTATAAGTAAAAATGTTGTCATCAAAATTATTGGTGTTATATTTATCGGGTCAAATTAATTTTTTAACCATAGGTACTATTCCTTATCGTTTGAATAACATTTTATCTTTAATTTTAAACGCCCAATTACAAACTCAGCTACTCAAAAAAAAAAAAAAAGTAATCATAACATTCGACTACAAAATATATGTAAAATATTAGAAGAAAATCCTGAGTATGTCATTAGTGAATTTTTAAGAGCTATCGCCTCTAATTTAAAATTTTAGATTTACTTAAATTGTATTATTGTATTTTAGATTATTTATTTATATCATATTATTTTAGATTTTTCAAGTATTAACAAAGCTGATGTATTATTAATTATTATTGTATTATATTATGTAATTTTTTAAATTAAATTGTGATCTTAAAAATAATTCTTTATTCATATAAAAAAAAACTATAACAAATGATGTTTATGAAAAATTACTTTTATAACAAATAACTTCATAACAACTGATTTTATGACACTTGATTTTCAAACACTCAACCTACATTCGTAGTTTATATTTAACAAATTAATGGTTTTTTAAATTGTCTAATATGACATTTAAATAACATCTATAATTTACAAATATATTTAAAATTGTATTTTAAAATTAATAATCTATTTTTTAGATTGGGTTACACCGAAGAAGGTCAAAAGTTTGTCATGAAATCACTTGATATAAACAAATTTTATCTACCTGCATTGACCAATATTCAAATTGTGCATAGTCACTTTGTTGAACGTTGGCATTATAGAATGTTAAATGATTCAAAACGTAATTTTGCATATAAAAAAGCTATTAGTAATAGAATAAATGAAGGTTATAAAACAGTTTTGGATATAGGTTGTGGATCTCTTATTTTAAGGTCAATAAATATAAAAATCTTAATTTTTAATGTTAATTAAATTATTTAAATAAATAACCTAATCAAATATTATTAGCTTATATGCAGCAGAAAATCCAGTTGATAAAATTTATGCTTGTGACTACTCTCAAACCATGATAAAAATTGCTTCTGAAGTTTTAGTTCGGAACAAAATGAATCATTTGATTAAAATATTTAATATGAATTCAAAAGATTTATGTATTCCTGATAGTATTGAAAAACGGTAAATATACTATTTATTATTTAAATATTAATATTATTAAATTGTTAAATTTTTACTGTATTTTAGAATTATAATTAAAAGATGTTACCTACATATTTATTTGTACAAGATAAATTGAAATGGAACTTAGAGTTATAAAATCTGCCTGTTTTCTTAGACTATTAAAACTTCATTGATTAATCGAAAATATAAATTTTTGTTCATAATATATACTTGACTAAATTTATCAATATTTATTATTATTATTATTAGCTAGTACTTTCATCAATTTTATATGACTATATGGGAAAAAAAACTCAATAGAAAGCTTAATTTAAAAATATTTGCTTATATTCGCTGTTTAAACTGGAGAAGTAAGACCAAATTGTCCAGGTTAAACATTATTATTCCTAGTATTTCATATAAATATGTATGTATTATATTGAATGAAATGATAATATTTTGTATATATTTTAGAGTTTCCTTAGTTGTTACTGAAATAATGGATGCCGGTTTATTTGGTGAAAATATTCTTACTACCCTTAAACATGCTTGGGATAAATTACTTTTACCTCCCAAATCAAAAGTTAATCCTGAATTACCACATGGATGCGTCATACCATATCATGCTACAGTATATGCAGCTCCTATTCAATGCTCCTATATTCGTAAAAGAAATCTATTTTGTGGAAAAGATAAATTATATTTAAAACAACTAAATTTATGTTCTATTACAAACGAACCTTATGACTGTGAACAGCTTAATCAATTACCTGGAGATTGTCTATTCTTAGCTGAACCACAGGCTATTATGGATATTAATTTTAATGATCCATGTCAAATAAATAGTTTGTTAAATTCCCAAAATATAAACCTAAAAAGTATTAAATACAGTATTACTCATTCAGGAAACGTAGATGCTATTGTTTCTTGGTTTGTTGTAAATTTAACTGAAGATGTATCAATTAATACTCTTGATACGAAAAATGAAAACTGTTGCTGGGAACAAGCATTGTTTGTTCCCAAAAGTAATAGAAAAGTTCAACAAGGAAATGAACTTAATGTCCAATATAAATGGGAAGATGACCATTATATTTTGAAATTAGAAGAGGAAATAAGTAATTCAGTATTTATTCCTACAGATAAAGAAATTATTTCATTCTTAAATGATAATGATCAAGTTGAAGGTTATATCAATGCTGCTAAACAATGGTAAATAATAAAAACTTCATGATAAGTTTCATATTTAATATTTTTGTTTAACTTTTGTTCTAGGTATTTAAAAAATAAACCACTTAATAATGTAAGAATTCTAGACACATCTCCATTTCCAGTTTTTGGCTTGGAAATAATTTCTTTGGCTTCTGCTGATAATTGTTTTGATGTGGAAATGTATTACACTGACAACAATTTGATAGAAGTTTTAAAAAAATGTAAAAGAATTAATAACTATTATTCAAAAATCTATCATTTTGATAAAAATAATTGGAAGAAATTTGATATTATTATTGTAAATTATATAAACTTTTATGGAGAATTTAATATCAACTCTATAGAAAATCAAATATATACAGAGTAATAATATTACAATTATATAATTTAATTAAGTTATTGAAAAGTAAAATTTTTAAATAAGTATATCAATGGTTGATAAATAAATTATGAATATTCCAATATTTCATTATTTTTTTTTAAATATTGATGTAAAAATATTTAACTTTAAACATGAACAATAATTATCTCATTTCAGAAAACTGTTAAAACCTCATGGAATTATTTTACCAGAAAAGATTTCTATTAAATGTCAACTGGTAAATTCAAAATGGTTACCACGAGTCAGTAAAGTTATTGAAAATAATTATAGTTGTAACTTGCACATTAGGAATTTAATGAATGCCTACAGTGTAAGAACCAAAAAATGAATAAATAATTATAAAACTAATATTAATTTAATATTTTTTAGGTCAATCATCATTTGGATGTATTCAAACATTTAGTAACAAATATTAGTTTATCACACTGTAAGACATGTTTAACTTTATTACCAAAGCAAATATCTCGAGAAATGTCTTCGGATAGCATTTTCCAAATCATCAACAGCGGACAGTTAAATGTAATCCTTTATTATTTTGAAATATGTATCTATAATAGCTGTACTGTTTCTACTGACAGTGAAAATTCTTATGTAAATCAGTGTGCATTTCTCATTGAAAATTCAGTAAATGTCTGTTTGGACAATGAAGTGAAAATTAATACAATGTTCAACAATGGTCATTTACTTATGTCTATTGCTAAAGTATGAAAAAGTTTCAATAAATTATTTATTATATCTGTTTATAAAACTGAAGTGTATAATTTTTTCGTGATAATATTACCTATATTTATCATTTTTACAAAATTATAATTGCAAAATATAACCATTTTAAATTTAAATAACAATTAAAATTATATAAAATTACAGATAATATTTAATAGGTATTATATGTTATCCATGGTTAAACTATAATTGTTTATTACTATTTTTTTATTACTTATTACTATGATAGCGAATGTCTTCTAATAATCTAAAGAATGCAATCTGGAGTTAATATGATGTTGCTAGATGTTAATATAATAACCAGGGTTCATAACTTCTAGCATTTGCATAATTTTTTTGAGAGGTTCTAGAGGTATCTATATGAGCTATAAATTTGTTTCAGATAACCAAGAAGCTACATACGAAATTTTATGTAGCAAATTTTTGCATATTTCAGAGTATAAGTGTTATTTTGCTTTTTTTTCTTATTTTTGGATTTTTGCATGATTTTTTGAGTAGCTTAAAACATTTTTTCTTAAAAATAACAAGTAATTATAGTCATATTAATTGTTCGTATTAGTAATTAATTTGTGTTAATATACTTATTTAATATACTTATATTGCTGCTTTGTAGTAAGCTTTGAAGTTGCGTATGATACCTTGGTCACATGGTTGAATGATTGAAGTAGTATTCTCTGGTAAGAAGATAACTTTTACGTGTCTTAAGCTTATGCATTCAATGATATGAGCGAGAAAATGATCAATAAGTAATAAAATGTTCCAATTGAACTCTTTGTCCCAATTGATCAGCCAATATTTGAAAATTACTGCAATCATCCAAGCGCTTTTTCTCCCTTATAATCTACTGGTAGTGTTTTCACTCCTTTGAAACACCGTGAGTTCTGGCTCTTACCTATTACCTTCAATTTTTGTTTTTCACCATTTATGCTGACACAACCCAAAATTGTGAGTCGCTCCTTGCTTGTTTTTGCCCCTTTGGCTTTGTCACTTTTAAGTGCGTATGTGTTCAGGTAGAGCACTAAAATAAAGCCCAGTCTCGTCCGCATTGAAAATATCAGATGGTGAGTATTGAGCTAGCAAATTGGTCCAATGAGTTTCAAACATAGAGTAATATAGAGTCGCCGATCCCTGTAAAGTCTGCATAATTGATTTGAAGCGCAAATTACAATTATTACTCTATGGTTTCAAACTACGATGTTCTCCCTTTTCTATCAACGTTGAAACCATTGTGACAGTAGTGTCAAAACAATATCATTTTTCCCCATTTTTTTTTGCCAGATCTTCTGCTTTTTGACATAAAAGTGGACCATTAATTCGGACATATTTTTTCCTTACTTGTAAGAATCATTATTTTAACGCTTTGTCTACAACTTCTTCTTTTCTAGCTCTTTTTCTTTTCTTACCACCATTTTCATAGTCCATTGTTACGCGTTGAATATTAGAACGATTTTTTAAAATTCTATTTTATGTTGAATGAGAAACGTTCACTTGTGAAAACCTACATAGTATTGTTTGAATTTATCATATTACTTTATATTACAGCCTACGCTGGGCATTTTTAATTATTCCAAAAATATAAATAACCACACAATCACTTCCGTGATTTCCAATACTCGCGTTAGTGATGGGTTTTGATTAATAATTTCAGAAATCATTTTTAAGTCTTTTTACATATAATTTTATACATCGAATTAAAAATTCAAATATTTTTTTTATGTAGATCTTTCACATAAGAAATAGAAGGAGGGACTAAGTTAAAATAAGTTTTTTAGAGGAGGCAAAATTTGATTATGTGCTTGAGCCATCCCTGGATAACACGTATAGGTCGATAATATTGTCGAATCGTTACACACCTCAAATTCGGAGACGTACATCACATAAAACGCAATCATTTAAAATTATGATTTACTTCAAATATAAATTTCAATAATCTAAAAAATGTAATGTTTCAATCAACAAATCATATCATGTTATATAAAAATTTAAACATTGCTGCCTTGTGAGATTTTAGTATTGGTTTTATACCGGTTTGTATTATGAAATCTATTAAAATAGTTTAGAACGTCTTTGACGTGTAATTCAATTTAAACATTTATATCAATTCATTGATTGGTTGGCCGGGCTACAGCTGTTTATTTATCACTTGACCTGACATTCATTATTTTCAGCCATTATTGCTGTGGGCATCTAGACCTCCCTAATATTTACTACAATCAATTACCGACGGTAATTCTTGTACGAGACTCATAAATTCTGAATTTATAAATCGTTAAAATGAGTGGAGCAGTTACAAAGAAAGTAGGCCTTATAAGCTGTAAGTATAAATTTTTTTGTTTAAAGTGTTCGTAAATATTAACTATACAAATAATAATGTTACTAATATCGTCATTATATTTAGCAATTATTAGTACAGCCAAGCCCAATTTGAATACTTTTATTAAATATGCTAAAGTAGAGTTAACTCCACCTAAATTATCAGACCTACCAGAAGTCAAAAATGAGATTTCCAAAATAATCCAAACAGCCAAAAGTGGTCGTTGGAAGAACATTACGGTCAAGGTATGTTTGTGCATTATAAACTAAATACATACAATTGTAAAATGTTTTGATGTAAAATAAAAAAAAAAAAGGGCGGTGAACACTGAATTTTTAATTGGTACCTACCACCATCAAATAAATATTTTTTTAATATTATAATACAAAGCTTCCTTATGTCCTGGATATAGTGTATTATAATTTATATTCTTTTCTTAAATATAAAAATACTTAGGTACACTTTGTTAAATCATGTAGATACTCAATTACTTGATTTAAAAAAATCTCCCTAACCTATAGAAGTCAGGATTTTACTACATTTTGTATACTTCACTAAAAAGCAACTTATAGTTGATAATTTTGGACTTAAAATATTTAAAATTTAATATAAATATATATATATATATATATATATATATATATATATATTAGCTGCAAAACACTTATAATGAATTACAATCATTAAAATTATTAATTAAAAAAAAAAAAGATTATATATGCCATTATTTTAATTACCAAATGCTACGTTAATATTATATATATATATGAATTTACCTCATAGTGATGTACCAAATTTAACTATTATTATTTTATAATATTAATATTATATATATTATATAATATTATTATAATATTAACTATATTATTTTATAATTCGTAAATTTGGTCATGAATATGGTTTTTCTGTTTTTATTGATATACATAGTATAATTTATCTATATTTAATTAATTTTATTTAATATTTTTTTATAGGATGCAACTATTAACTCACTCGTCGCAATTGAAGTACTTATGTGGTTTTATGTTGGTGAATGTATTGGAAAGAGGCATTTAATTGGTTATGATATCAAGTTGTAAATAAAATAATCTTATAATTTAAAGTAAATGGTACTTCTCCTGATTGTATTGTTTTGTGTCTAGAAATGTTTTAAATTTGTAGAAATGCCACAGTTTTTTCAGTAAAATAAAACAATTACTATTTGTCAATATATCTACAATTAAATAAATAGTAAATCGTAAAGACCATAAGTTATCTGTTTTATTATATCCTGTGAATGTTCATTAATGGTTATAATTATTTTTTAGAGTATATTATTTTTGGTAATAAATGTTATTTTACTAGTATACATAAATATCCTACTGCATTATAGTTTATAATTGACTTACTGATTTTGCCATATGTTTACAGAATATCTAGTATAATTATTTTATTTTCAAAGATATCGTTACAATCTAGAGATGACTTACATTCTCAATTAATACTCTTAAAAGCAACTACTTGGTTGCTCATTAAGTAGGATTATATACCATATGAAGTCACTATTTTAATTAGTTTAAAAAAAACATTGAATATTTGCCAAAAAATTAAATAATTACTAAATAAACTAGCAAAAAAGTTATCCATGACCGTATAGTTTTTATTGTAATTTTAAACATATTGTAGAGAGTTTATGAAAATTGAATACTGTTAGGTGACATTATAACTAATATTATGTACTGTCTCATAAACTTAAAAATACTTCTTTATATCATATTATTTAAAGACTTCCTACATATTATTGTTACATTATAATAGCTTGTACCTTGTGTCTATTTACAAGTATTTTATTTTTATATTTATACTAGCTTAATTACTCATCTTCGCACGAAACATTCTTGGCCGTGACATAGGTTTTAATGAATTATTACTTTACATTATTTAAAGCCAAGTCTGGTGCAACTGTTAGTGGTTATTTAACAAATAAAACAAAAGTTAAAATGAATCAGTATAGTAATTTTGGTAATACTTTTAATTACCTCTGAATTACCGTATTTGCTGGTTCCAATATTTTTTAAAATCCCTTCTTATTGCATGTATTAAATATTGGAGAGACCACCATGACAAATTTCGAGTTCATATAGTTTTGAGATATAGCGATGATCAATGAGTGAGTAATACCTGACGTCTGATGAGAAAATCGTGAGTGTTCAACTCTTTTTGGTTGTTACTGTTGAACCTATGCCTTTTCAACCTTTTGGCAGGCGCGCTACTGTGTATTATACGAGCAGGTGCGTTTCGTACTTTATACGACAATGCTTTTCATATATATTTAATTAAAATGAAGGATAAATAAATAATTTTTAATAGAAATATTTTTTTGTAACATTTTATTTTTATTTATATAATATTTTATGAATTTATACATTTTTTTTTATAATTTTTTATGGTAATTTCAATATAATTGTTAATAAAACACAATTTTTTTTTGTATTTTTTACTAAATAAAAAAAACACAGTATAAATTAATACATTATAAAATAAATAAATAATCGAATTTTAATAATATAATAATATATTATTATAAATATTATTGTAATTAGGGAACGGATTTATATGTAATAAAAAAATAGAAATATGTACATATATATGTAAGTATAATTTATAAAATATGTGCTAAAAACATCCAAATATGAGGGGAAAAAAAAATTATTATTATTATTAAATTATCAAAATGATTTGTTGCATTGAATTATTACAATATCTTTTAAATTATAAAATGTTAAATGTCGCCTATTAGGTATCAAAATATTTTTAAAATTGCTAAATTATCGTTTCACATCAACCGATGTATTAAAACCATATTTCAAGCGCATACTATCAGAAGGCGATAATTCCAAATTTTTAGAAGGGCGTCTTCCACTCATTGTATCATTAATTGTTTTAAAATCAATATAGCCTGGAATTTTTGTCTGTAACAGCATGAATTTTCTTTTTTACAACATCTATTGGTCTGTTTACGAGTTTTAATCGCTGATTCAACAGTTTGCATACTATCATTTGGGGACATATTTTTTATTAATAATTTTATTAAATTATTTTTAATTAAAATTAAATTATTTTCAATGTTTTATTTTGCATAATATTTTGAGCTTTTCCAATAGCGATAGAAGTTTCTGGATCTAATTTTGAAATAATTTCTTGTATTTTCGTACGAAGAAGACGTATGAATGATGAAATGATAAAAATATATTTAAAAATATTTATAAATTAATCAAATATGTAAAAATATGTAATTATACCAAAATATGTAAAATTATGTAAAATAAAAGTATCATCATTTTAATAGGAGTGATTTATATCATAAACATTTCTTATCGAATCTTAAATATCTTGTTTTAATAAAAATATGCATTTACATACAAATCCGTTCCCTAATTATAATAAATGAACGACCAGGGGCGGACGTAATTCGTGCGATCAGACGGAGTTGACTGAAATATACATGATAAAACAAATTTATTATAAATTTTTATTAATCCAGCGCGACGGTAGTGGCGCGAAGCTAAGTAAAAAAAAAAAGCGAAGCGGTCACTACCGTAGTATATTACACGAGCCAGAGTTTGCCCATTGAATGTGTGTAAATTTGCCCGTTTTCTTTAGCCAGGGCTACAGACCTAATGAATGAACGGATTGGTCTGTTTGTGGTATCAATAGATCGGGCATGATTTGTAGATTATACCTTTGTAATTTTCGAAAAAATTGGTTGAATAATAACGAATATATTAGCAAAAAAGTCAAATATTTTTGAAGCAAAAAGAAATTGTGCTCGACCGTTTTTAGTTATTACGTTTCAGGCAGCAGCGCACGAGACCGTATTACCCCCTCTATTCCGTATACGTTTTCGTCGCGGTCGTACACTGGGCAGCGGTTGCGACTTGCGGTTCCCGCCGTTGCTGGCATCTTCGCTTATCGTATTTGTTATTACTGTTATCGACATTCATGTTTTTGGTGACGTTCGGTGTAGATGCAGTGATGTTCCCATCATTTTTTATGAGAGTATACTACGCTGAAGAACGCCAAAATATAGGTATTTCATTTTTTTTACGATAAAAGTGGTAGAGAGGTTTAATTAATAACCAAAAAAATTACTATTACATTTTTAATATTAATATTTAATTTTAATATTTATTTAAACAAAAATTTTTATAATATTCAATTACGGTTGTAAAAAAATATTGTTTAAAAATTAATTATTTAAATAAATTGACAAAAAATTGTTTTCTTAACTCATCTTCTTCGTCGATGGTTTTTTTTTTGTTCTTTACCACGTGGAACTGAATTTGCTGATCTATGGTTTCGCAGCCAAATTTTTACGTATGGTCGTGGATTGAAGTCTTCAACTGGGGTCCATTGATGGAGATGAACATTAAATCTGACACATTTTCAATCGTTAAACGAGTTCTAAGTTCAGTTATGGTGAAATTCATATCAGAAAATCCTCATTCACATTCGGTAGTTGTTGTTGGAAGTATGTTTAGTGTTTTTATAAGATCAGAAGATGTATTTCGAGAACGAAAGTTTACTAAACTTTCAAATTCAGATAGACCAAATCTGCGTGACACTCTTTTAACTTCTTCTTCTCATCTATCATCATCGGTTTCTATTTTAAATACCTCTACAATAACTTACAGGGTGAAAAAAAATGCAATTTAGATGTTTGCGTAATAATTATAAGATTAAATTTTTCAATATTCCTTACCTTTAGATCTTGTAATATTGTTTTAATTTTAAGGTCATTGAATAAGCGCTGACGCATTCTATCGACTATATTTTGCAAGAATTGCAATCTGTTAATTCCTCCTGACTTTGTGATTATAATATTTATGCCTTTATGAATTCGTTTTTGTATAGCTTCTATGATTTATTTTTCTTTTTCACTAGGTTCTGTCTTCAGGCTTTCTAGAATTCTAATTGTCCTACAAATTTCTGATTGAGTGCGCATTAATGTTGTTTTTCTTGATTGAAGTACATAAGACAACATTCCGAGTTCGAAAAGGACGTCACAAAAGAGTCCAAGCTCCTCTAGGAAAGAAGAAGATTCTAATTTGTATTTTAGTCCAATTTCAAGAGTTTGACTCACGTGCTTATATATCTCTGGATAGTTTTCCCATATGGCTATTATCGTACAAAAACTACTGGCAGACCAACGCACGTTTAAAATACGACCAATTTTTTTCATTTCAATTCCAACCTCCAAACAAGCCCTAGAATTTTTAGGACTTTGGTGATAATAAGAGTAAAGTTTATCCATTAAACTTTGAAAACGAGAAACACCTTGCACATCTTTTATGACATGTACTGAAAGTTCAAGTCGATGACATAAACAATGCCACGTAAATAGTTGCGGTATCTTCTCACAAAGTTTAGCAGCTACTCCAGATTTCGTGCCTGTCATTACACTAGCTCCATCACTTGTAAATGCAATCCAATTCTTCAATGCAAAAGACTTAGAAATTCCAATTTTTTCTAAACTCAACCACAAGGCTTTCTCAATATTTACAGCGTCTTGTCTATCCAGCTCTATTAAATCAAGAAATACTACAATAGGAGTCTCTGAATCAAAGTTTGATGAAATATATAAAATCAGTGTGCATTTTATGCTCAGTGTAGCCGATTCGTCAATCATTATAGTGAATTTTGAATTTGACTCTATAAGACGTGTAATTAGCCGTTGGCGCATCTCTTTTGCAATAACGTTAATTATTCGAGTGGCAGTTATTCGACTGTGCAAGGAAGATCCCATGTCTAATCCATTAATTGTCTGCAGTTTAATAAGTTCTTCAAACTGTAGAAAGGGACGATGATGCTTCGCTAAGCAATATGCAGTTTGAAAAATTCTCATATTACTGCTAACCACAGTTTCGGACATATGTTCAAACATTCTATCCAAAACCTGTTCAGAGCCTTTCTTTAAGACGTTCTCAGCAAATAAATGAGATTTACTTTCCGAATGCTGTTTAATTTTATTTCTTAAAGAAGATAGCTAATTCGTACGATTACTTCCTGCAGCCGTTATTTCAAAGTCCATCCATTCACGTGACATTCGAAGTTTACCATCAGCAATGGATTTTTGTAACTCAA